TACTTTTAATTGGCTTGGGTTATTGGGTTTTTTTGTGGTTGTGAAAACTCTTGGATTTGTTTAAGTTCTTGATTGCAGTTTGAATTCAAAGTTATTTATTCTTGTTTATTTAATTGATTTCGAGTGAATTGGGAAAGATCTCGAGAATTATACATTTATCTAATATCAGGAGAGTTAGATTCAAGAAACAAATGAGCATGATCTTCATTTCAACGAACATTGTTAAAGGTTAATCCATCTTAGGGATAAGATTCAGATTTCAACGGCTAAAATGAACACAAGATCGATTGTTGTTCACCCATGGTTAACGCAGGGATGTATCACTAATGCATGCATAATTGACCAGTTCTTCAGGTTAGGGATAACAAAAAGACATTGAAGAACGCTCTGTCGAGCTTTGAAGGAGGAAACCCAGTTGTTACGGCAATTGAATCATTTTCAGTTGTCAAGGCAGTCGAGTTGCCTCGACAATCAATTACCCAGACTATCCAAACAGTTATCACACCGCACTTCCCGATAACCCGACCTACTCTCTCAATTAATATCACTCTACTTTTATTTACTTGCTTATTTATTTTATTTGTTTATTCACACTCCTACTATTGTCAATTTATTTCTTTTTACAGTGCAAAAAGTTAGAATACAAAATTACACCAATCCCTTTAGAGACGATATCTTTTCTATACTATAACTTGTGATGTGTACACTTGCACCATTTGTGAAGCACTTAAATAACACAAAAATGGTCTCAAGCCATACTCGCTAGTCCGTCAGCCACCCTGTTACACTCTCTAAGAACAAATCAGAATTGGAGGCACCAGTCTCGGTGAATCAAATCGTGAAGATGCAGTACAAGAGAGGAGACTCCTTCATTGTCTATCTTTCTTTCCAAGACACCCAAAGCTTCCTTGAAGTATGTCTCTACTATAATCCGTCTATAACCCCGCTCCAGAGCATATACCGATACTCTTCGAATGATATTCTTGATAGTTTTCGAAAAGCATATGTATTTTTCTAATGTGAATTAATTGTAAATAATTGTAAATTTACAAACTAATAGTGTTTCACTTATAGTCAAATGTTGGATTTAACTAGGATGACAATGATGTTGGATTTAACTACTTTATACTCATATTATTTTTTTTAAAAAAAATATTATAATATATTACATAATTTCAGATGATATATAATTTATTAAATAATATTATAACTTGTACACATACAAAAAAATATAAAAAATGTATGCAAATTGTATATGATTAAAGTATTGTTTATATTAGAATCTATTATTAACACGACATTATAAGTAATTATATTTAAATTTGAAGAGAAACCCAAACATATATATTGAATTGAACTCAATTCGAAAAAGCATCAAATAAAATTTGAGTGATAAAATCATATCCGTAAATTCTATTAATTTAATTTTGTTTACTAACTTGACTCGATAGAATGTTAATCCCTATTCCTAATTGTCGAGTTTAAATTCTTTTTGAATTGGGTATAGATACAAGTAAAATTCACTAATACAATCATAAGTAGTGCAATTACAAACACAAAATAGAATGAACATAATAGAGCACAATAATATAGAAATTATAATTATTATTATAAAATAAAAAAAATGAATCAACATAAACTCTAAATTGAACCAAAATAGTCTGAAGGAAATCTATAGAAGATGATGAACCCACGTACAACCGAGTCAAGCTGCAAATTGCAATCTACTGACTGGACCTATTCTTTGATTGCTCTAAATTAAATGATTCCTCAACCATTATAGTCCCCTATACTTGGGTGTGTTTATTTCTCGTTTTTAAGGTCCACAGAATACACGACCATGTCACATCAATGCCTATTGCAGTGGTTCCTCTACGTTTTCAAACCCCAATCATTTGTGTGCTAAGCTTAATCATGTAGAAAAAGACGATTAATAATCTCGAAGGTTAATGTATTTGCATTATATATAGAGTGAGATTGGACGATATGATGGTTTAACTAATAAGCGTTTGGCGTAGTGACAAAATATGTTTCATTTTTAATGATAAAAATTTAGATTAAGATAATATTATTATAAAAGAATCATAAAGTCCAAATATGAATTACAAAATAAATATGTTTTTTTAACAGTTGGATTAAAATAAAACCTTAAGTGGAGCAAGTGCTGGTTTTAGAACATCATACAAAGAAAGAAAAAGAAGGCATAACTCGACCAAGGGGAAAAGGCAAAGAGTGTTGATTTTGAAAGCTTGCGATCAACATGAATACAACATCAGCACGAGTTGTCAGCTGTCCCGCCAATGTTTTATGTTCTTTTTATTTTGTCTTGGGGGCCCATTGTACCACGGGCTTTCCCCACGGGGTGAAGTTGACACCGATATTTATCGACTCACACCAAACCACACACCTTGCAATTTCCTTTTTGGTATGACAACTTGATATGATATTTTTCAAATTTGTCTGAATTTAATCTTGTATTAATTTTCCATATTCAGAATTTTAATTTTTAATATACATATTATAAGGTTGCTGAAAGGTATTGGGAACATCTTAATTATTTAACACCATGGTGCGCACCTACCAAATAATGCATTGTCCCAAGTACCAAAGGATTCACCATATATTTATTTGTCCTTGCAGGCACCTACAAGATTAAGGATTGAAGGTGACAAGAGTTTGGTTTTGCAATCAATTAAAGAAGAGAAAGATATTTTATGTTGGGCTATTTGCTTAGGAGAAGAAAAGGCCTCAACAAAAGAAAAGAAATGATTAATGGGTCATTAGGGATCTTTCATTTTCATTCGGTCGGGCGAGAAAAACCCTTTTTAAGAGTGCTCCCAACAGTGTGTTGGTTTGTAGGCATTCACTTGGGGTCCCTTGTGAAGGACCATCCTTAGGGGACCATTGAAAGCCCAACTCAATTCTAGACCGTGAAAATCTTTCCAAACCCAAGATCCCAATACTCTTGAAGTTTTAAGACAAAACGTACAGTAAGAGTACATTAATGGTTTAAAGTTTGTATCTTTGGTTGTTTTATTGGCTGTGGGAGCATTGAGATTAAAGACAACCGTGCGTGCGTGTGTAATAGATTGTGTTAGGCCCTAAGCTCCATTTTGTTGAGGATGTGAATGTAGTGCGTACACGATGCCAAGAAATTACTTGCGTGAGGCCTTTAATTTCTCCCGGTTTCTTTAGGAAGCTGTTGCCTCTTGTTCCAAGCAATACAGAATTTTAGCTAAGAAACTCTATTTTATTTTTTATATTGTGAATCGAGCTTTGTGGCAACCAAGGAGACTATAATTTTGACTACCAAAAGCAAACTTTTTTTAATGTAGAAGTGTGATATATTCATTGATCAAATAAAACATTATTAATAACGTCTTGCCACATGCATATAAAACAAATACATTTATATTTATCATAAATAAAATATACCGATAATCCATTAGTTGTTAACAAATACATTTATATTTATCATAAATAAAATATACCGATAATCCATTAGTGACAACCTAATAAGCAAGAGAGTGATCAATTAAGCTACTCCAACTTCCTAAATCATTTTTAAATGTTATCAAAATTGCCAAATGTTTGACTACCAAGCATGCTTTGTTGTCTTCACCAATGAGGCTTTGCCCAATCAACAACTTTAAAAAAAAGATTGGATTTTGACAACGAAACTTTGGTTTCATTTGCTGTAAGATCCAAGATAACAAATTTGAAATAATGAAAATGGGGTTTATTTTAGGGCAAACTACATGTTTAGTATCTAAAGTATCAGATTTTTTCAGAATCACACCTAACATTTACTTTTTGTTTCATTTTAGTACTCGAGATTTACTTTTTTTTTCATTTTAGTACCCCATTGTTAACTTTTTGTTTTGTTTAGTACCTACATTTTTAACGGTGGGGTAAAAAAATGAAACAAAAAGTAAACTTTAAGTATGATTTTAAAAAAATTAAAAGTTTAGATACTAAAACAAAATAAAATTAATAGTTTAGATACTAAATACGTAGTTTACTCTTTATTCTAACGGCAAGCAAAGGCATAAATATTGCAATGAAAGATAGAAGCCCATGACAGCTCAACGGGCTTTCAGAGCACTCAAATGAACCGTACAACATATTTTTGCCCTCCAATTGATTTGATTTCAATGTGAATCAATCATAAGCACAAATTTGTTTGGTCCCACTTTAAATGGTTTTTCAGAAGATTAGTAACAGATGAATGTGTGACATTAGTTTCCGCACGAGCTAATTTTGTGATGTCAATTCATGCTGTTCCCCTTTCCTTTCCTTTATTTATTTCATTTTGAAGCTAAGAAAAATAAACCCCTCTAGAAAATAATTACAAAGACTTGTTCACCCATTGACCCAAAAAGGGTAGATGAGTACGAGTCAATGACACATAGATCTTCCCCATTTCTAAATGACAATAATATTGTCAATTGACCACAAGAAAAAGGAGTCGTATAGGCATGGAATGGGAAACATACTGATGTGCAAAGAATAATACAAGTCAAAGGCAAAAGCTAGTGTATTAATACTTTATAATTAACGGTTTGGAGATCAACACACCAAATTATTGACACAAATATCTTTGGATCAATTCATTGAAGCTAATGCTTAATTTTTTTTTCTTCTTCTTGTTGTTGTGAAAAAATAATAAGTGGTCGTGAGTAAGATGGTGGGCAGTAGAGCAGTCAGCAGCCTGTGGTTTGGCCTCATCGTTCCCTTTCAGAGTTCAAATTATGAATCAATCCCTCGTCGACAAGCTACAACACTTGCCTGCTGCCTTACTACTGCTACTTCCCTACAACTCCTATTAATTGACCAAATCAGCCCTTGCTCAAATATTGTATTTTGACTGATCCGTCCTCTCGTGTTGTCATTATCCTTAGGTCTTAGTTGCGCAGCTCTGTCAGCCCCACCAGCTCTTCCCTCTCACTTTGGCTTCTATATTTCACACTCACTTTCACCACTGCCCCTATTACCCCCTCTCCCCTCCCTCTCTTGCCTTTCTAACATGCGCCTATAAATTAAAAACAGAACAGGAGGTCTTTTAAGCAACTCACAACTTCTCTCCCTCTGTTAATCCCTAATTCTATTAGTATTTTCTTTGTTGTTACCTTGTAGGCTTGTGCCATTACAATAGCCAAAAATACGAGGAGTACGTGGGAAGAAGAAGAAGGAAGAAAGATCTGTCCTTTTACCCTTTACATCTGCTAATGCCATTTAATCTTCGTAATCGGAACTGTATCGTATCAGAAGGCCATCAAATAGTCCTCCTTTAAAACCCGAAAGATTCTGGAATTCAGGGGGGAGGACGAAAGAAAAAAGCTTGAAGCTTGAGCTCAAAGACCCAACATTTTTGTTTCTTTATAATGGGTCTTCTGGTAATTCTTTTGTTGCTAACGTGCGCTGCACTTCCATTGGCTTCATCAGATCCAAACGACGAGGCGTGTTTGACTCACTTGAGCCGAACTCTGAGAGACCCATTAAACAACCTGCGGAACTGGACCAGGTCGACCTTCGCAAACCCTTGTAGTGGCTTCACCTCTTATCTACCCGGTGCCACTTGTAACAATGGCCGAATCTACAAGCTTTCCCTTACGAACCTCTCCCTACAAGGCTCCATTTCACCTTTCCTTTCCAACTGTACCAATCTTCAGTCGCTCGACTTGTCTTCAAACTCCATCTCAGGACCCATACCGGAAGATTTACAGTATCTAGTCAACCTGGCAGTGTTGAATCTCTCGGCGAATCGTCTGGAAGGAGAGATCCCACCACAGATTACATTTTGTGCTTATTTAAACGTCATCGATCTTCATGACAACTTGCTCACCGGTCAGATTCCTCAACAACTAGGCCGACTAGCACGTTTGTCTGCTTTCGATGTTTCTTACAACAAGCTGTCGGGGCCAATACCGGCTTCTTTAGGGAACAGAAGCGGATTCTGCCGAAGTTCAATGCTACTTCCTTTGAAGGAAATAAGGGTCTTTATGGATACCCTTTGCCACCAATGAAGAGTAAAGGATTGTCTGTTTTAGCCATTGTTGGAATCGGATTGGGAAGTGGACTTGCTAGTTTGGTGCTTAGTTTCACTGGAGTTTGTATTTGGTTGAGGATTACAGAGGAAAAAATGGCTGCCGAAGAAGGCAAGGTTAGTCAACTTATGCCCGATTACTGAGCTGTAATGCAAAAGCACGAAAAATTTCCAGGTATGTCTTGTCTAGAGTAGTCTTTTTCTTTTTGGAGAGGTTTTCTGGGTAACCTTTCATCATTTTCTTTTAGGGCTTATAATATTTGTTACCAACAATTATCATCAACAATGTATAAAGCGATTCAAACGTGATCGTTTCCAGTTTGTTACTAGTATTAATCATCTTCTTTGTGATTAGCTTTTTCAGCATTCATTTGTATTGACAGAGATAAATAATTTAGTGTATGGAGATTCGAAACTTCTTGTTCTGCTTGTGTTCAAGTCTGCATAAATTTGCAGAATGAATGGGGGATGATGAATGAAAGAACTGCGCCCTGGAATTTGTCTGCTGCTGCTGCAGCCAAATAAATTATAGATTAAAAAGAAAAAAGAAATACAAGTGGTGGGGGACTGTGGCTGTGGGGGCTATTTCTGAAGGAAAATGCTTGCCTTTAATAAAGACTGCTTGCATTTAATAAAGAATGCACTTCAACCTACTTGGGTAATTCTTGTGCTTTCCCAGTGTGAGCTGGTGGGAGACCAGCATCACCACATCACATGCTGTGACCAAAACTCATTCCGCTTTAAGAAATTGAAAAAAATTCTCTCTCAATTCATTTCGAATTTTTTAAATAAATTTTAAATTATAAAATAAGATTTAAATAATTTAAAACTTTCAATATTGAATGGAATGATTTTTAAGTTTAAATCGAGTTCATTAACCCTACATGATATATTCATATCACGTATAAAAAATAAAGAAATAAATCATATATGGTCATAGAAAATCCTTAAAATTGAGAACAATCAGTATTGTAACATTAAAATTTGTAAACTTAAATGTAAACAAAAATTTGATCAATTCACAATTCATAAACTTAATTCTAACAATACAATTCGACTTAAAATTTTATAAAGCCTAGAGACCTAATAGAATTGATAAAATATTTAACATAAAATAACTTAAATAATACATACATGATTTAAAAAATATTCAAAACAACATATTGTTAAACCATGAGTTCTTTAGGGTAGAGCTATAGCTTTGTAGAATTTGTTTAAGTTGATCGAAGCAGATCAGGGTTTCACTAATGGGTTTTCCCGAGAAAGGCCTGGGCTGGACCCCATATGTTCACGTCTTTATGTTGTTGCCCTGAGGCACAAACAACAAATAAAAGTTCAAAACTCATCTGATTTTAGTTTCGCCCATTTGTTTCTTCAGTTGGTTTTCAAAGTCACAAGGTTTGGGGTTTTGGTTTCAATGCCTTTCACGCACTCAATAGTTTTTAATTATTAATTGGGTTGGTCCATGCCAACAAATATTTTTAATTTCCTCACACCTGACTAACAATTCACTCATTCAACCAAATGAAACACCGGGCCATACCATTTTATTATTTTTTAACAATTCGAATTTTACTATATATGAAAAATTAACTTTTCAATTATTGCATTTAATATTGATTTCATTATTACGAATAGTATTATTAACTATAGAATGTTTGAGCAAAATAAAGCCCGCATAACCTGTATAGATCCTAATTTTCAACAATGTAAAATAGAATGTTTGATGCTTCACTTTCTTGTTGAGACCATGCACATTGATTGATGTGATTGAAAACAACGCGGTATTGCCGAAGCACGGAGCTTTCCACGCTCACTCAGCCCCTCAAGAAGCTCATCACGTTTTTAATTCAAACCTGACTAATATGCTAGATCGATCTACCCTTAATTTTGTGGCTATCTTTGTTAAAAAAAAACGCGGTATTAACTACATTGATGAACATATTACATATAGAAAATCAATGTACGTTTTCCCCAACACCAATCCAGTCCATCATTTGTTGGGATAATATTTAGGAATTTTAATTATAACCCCAATTTCGAGTCTGGGTTGGATTCAAAATATCTTCATCATTGAAGCAGGTCGATCCAGATTCATGAACCCCAAAAATAATAAGGCAAAGGACATGCCACTTTAAACCCTTTGCTTAATCATCGTGATTTATGCATTCATGTATGGTTACTTTCTAAATGACGACACCTTTAATTAACAAGGAAAATAAGTGGTAGTTCAAGGTAGAACAGGCACCGGAAAACCATTGCCTTTCTTCCCCCTTGCTTTAGAAGCCATTACTGTTTGATTAGGGTTCGAGGTCCCGGCTTGCTCCAGGCGGGTTCGTTCTCGTCCCATTGCACGATTTACGTCAACAGGTGGGTTCATTCCGGTTCGAGCTCCGATTTTACTTGGTCAGTTGAGGATTCTGCAGTTGATTGTGGCATGCCAGCTTCCGAGTTCCGACTTGGTTTGAGGACGCTGCATTCTTTTTTCTTATATATGATCTCCTGTCAGAAAGTTGAAAGTAATGACTGGTTTGCATAGTTAAAAGTATGTAACATGATCTATGCTGGTTTCTATCATATCATACTTTCTATTTTACTGAATAACAATAGTTAGCTGCTTCATAGCAAGCAAGCACCATCTTAGATTACACCTAGATAGTAAATGTTTAATTTTTATGCATCTTATGGAAATTACAATGTTTATGTCACTTTTAGTTACAGAAGGTTCAAGCAATATTTTAATTTGTGAACTCTTCTGCTTCATCCCCCATTAACAGTAGTAAGATTAGTTGCTTTTTCAGGATTTAAGGAATGGAATTCTTAATTCTGAAGAGTAAGTACCAATGATTTGTTTAGCAACATTGAGATAACCTGTTTTGAGTTGGTGGTTTGATTTTAGCAACCAACATCTAATCATGCATTTCCTGTTTACCATCTCAATGTTAGTACTAACTCAACTTTTTTTTTTTACTTGAGTCGATCCGATGAAATATTCACCCCTAGTGACTGTTATTGCCCTAATGATTGTAGCTTTAACCATTGCATGTTCCAATCTGTCATCACCTTCTCCGGGGAGACACATTCATGTTCTGATGATCAAATTTGAACAATTCAAGTCAGTAATGCCCTGATTGCTGGTTATGCACAGTATGGGTTCGGGTTTGAGTTTGGAACAGATCTGTAATTTCTTTTCTAGCACATGTTGGAACGAAATATTTCCAATACACTAATTTGATCATGTTATACAATTAGAAATGAACAATAATCGATAACAGAATCATTAGATTACAACATTAATAAATGGTAAACAAGAAACAGTAAAAGAAAAGAGCTAAACTGATACAACAAAATAAGGGTGGGAATGCATGTTTGACAACAAATAAAATAACCGTAAATTTCCCATCAATTAAATTAATAATAGAGAAAATAATCTTAGTGACCGAAAATGCCTTATAATATATGATTTTAACAATTTTTTTTGGATTTGCCAAAATGACCAACTAAATCGTAATGCGATCGATAATTCGCAACACGATCTCCGGTATCGCAAATCAGTTTCCAGATTCGCAACGCGAACTTCGACTATCGCATTGCGATTTACATATTCGCATTGCAATAGTCGAAGTTCGAGTTGCGATAGTCCAAGTTCGCGTTGCGATTTATTACAAATTCGTTGCGATAGTCCAAAATCGCAACGACTGGTGGTATTGCATTTGTTTCTTAAGAATTTTCTCTAAAAAAAATAGTATTTGCGCGGACGTGTCGAAGACATGTATTACCACGACCACGACGGCGGCGGCGGCGCGCGAGAGTCCCCCTTGTTCTCTATCACTCAACAAGGAAGTGGGAAAGCCAAACCTTAAATACCATTCCCAATAGTGTTTCCAATACTATGTGGGATTGAGCATTACCAACACTTGTTTCCAATACTATGTGATTATTCAGGAAACAATTAACAATCATGCACCTTAAAACAACTGAATCAGCAATCAATTGCATTAGTATTATACAATTAAATATGTCATAATTAAAAGTCAATCTACAATCAATCGCGATTATTGCAATTTTAAGCAAAACATTCAAAAAAATTGCATCACTCACGAGAATAAAAAAAATTATTATCGTGCAATTACAATCAATTGAAAATAAATTAGAATTGCATGAAAACTAAACGAACCATAAATACTTTTCACACAAATACTAAAGTCATTAACTATAATTCACAAATAATATCACTATTTAAGGCTCAATCCCACATAGTATTGGGAACAAGTGTCAGTGACAAGTATTGCATAAGCAGAAATACTTTTCACACAAATACTTTTCCAAATTCGTTGCGATAGTCCACATAGTATTGCATGAATACCATCGCAACGATTTTGGACTATCAGTGTTGCGACAGTCAGAATCGCGTTGCGATAGTCAGAATCTCGTTGCGATAGTCAGAATTGCGTTGCGATAGTCAGAATTGCATTGCGATAGTCATAATCGCATTGCGATTTATATATTCGCATTGTGATAGTCTGAAAATCGCAACGCGAATTTGGAAAATCGCAATGCGATAGTCAGAATCGCATTGCGAATCTGGAAACTGATTTGCAATACCGGAGATCGCGTTGCGAATTATCGATCGTATTGCGATTTAGTTTGTCATTTTGGCAAATTCAAAAAAAGTTGGTTAAAATCGTATATTATAAGGCATTTTTGGTCACTGAGGTTATTTTCTGTTACTAATAATATAAAGCTTGCAATATTAAGGGCACAACACTTGACTGATACAACGTCTCTTTTACCAAATTCAGTTACCCACGCATGCCGGTTATATTTTTATATGAGAGCTGAGGATAAACTTTTTACCATTACAAACAGAATTAAGTGAAAACTAGTACCTTTTATGAATTGAGGTGAATATTTCTTTCCACTTATATCAGTGGTATGGATTTAGGTGAAATACTTGGCATGCTGGCTGGTATGACTTCTTTGATGCAGCCTGCTCAAACTTCTTAATGCCAGCTTCATTTTCTTCTAAACTAGTCTGGACGAAAAACCGAATCCACCAAGTTGAACTCCGCATTTTAGCCTTCAAGAATGAAACAAGTTTTGTCAATGATAAGCTGAACATTAGTGTCAGTGACAAGTGATAAATCACAACGGAGCATAAGCAGAAAAAGTAACCATTTTGGTAATAGTCCACTCGCATATCCATTTTGATGTTTTCTTTGTTCCTAACAGACCCTCTCAAGATATCAAATTTATCACAAGCCCTTAATTTTATGAAGGATATATGTTAACAAGTCCAATTTTTTGGGCCTCTTCTTTC